TTCCATTCTTCACAGTTGAACGAATAGATACATCAAATTTGGATTAAATCGTTGGCTTCGCGTATTCTTCACCCTTTATCCCTCCGTGGGTTTCGCATGCACAACCTTAGGGTTGCCGCAAGGCTTTTGCGCTATCAGCAGACCATATCTTAGCGTAGCGGTGGCTTACTCTCACCTCGGCTATGTGATCTTGACCTTTTCTGCGAATCTAGATGACACGAGCTTAACACGTCAGCCACTTAAGCGCTCCAAATCCCTATGACTGGCATCCAGTTGCCGTGGTGGCCGGAATGCGTACTGCACAGCCAATGCAGCTGATATCGTTTTGACAATAGAGGTAGCAAGGCTTAAGGGCAGCGTAACTACGGATGTGTTGTGTGTGTGTTTATGTGTGTGCCTCGACAGCCTCACTTATGCACACACACCAGCAGATGCTGACAAGAGGACTGACTAGTCCCAGATCCAAGGATATAGTTTGATTCGCCATAGATACCACGAGATGGGTTGTCAAAGTTAGGCGTCGACCCAGACCGCGTGTACCGTATACACAGTGTGTGCGGGTAACGCGTTGCGGTTACCATACGGCAGCAAACCAACTTGCCCAACCTCCTCGAAGGGAGAGAGAAGATTGGATTAGGCCGCAAACTCACACTATGGAATGCATTCACTAAGCTTCACTGATTGTTGTTGATGTCATGGAAAATAAGCCTCAAACAATCAAAACGAGCGTAGCAACCAACGCACTTACGAATTGATACACAAAACATTCGGATGGCATGGCAAAGCCACCTAAATCCCATGGATACGAGACCTAGGTAGAGAACCAAAGGAGTTTGGAAAAGAGGAATCCCACGCATAAATGCATCCATACAAATGCGATATGGTGCCGGCCTTTAGCACCACAGTCCAAGACTGATTTCATTGAGTCAGTTGATGGCCTTTACCTCCGGAGTCTATCATATATGTTTGCTCTCTCTATCAGTTAAGTGCAAATATGCACCAAACGGACTCTAGAGTGCAGATGCGGTCCCAGTGAACAATCTGACCGAAATTCATTTCAAACTGAACCGCGGTTTAACTGGAGATCATGTGTTGCAATGCGTCCACATAACCATACTTTATATGAGCCCGCAATATAGCATATCGCATAGAAGTCGGACCATAGCACCTTTGGCGAAATCCGCACCCGGATCTGTCTGCCCCCTGGTCCAGAGCAACAGCCACAGGGCATCCGTTTATACAGAAGGTGCCTTCCGATGCATGCGTGCAGCTCCATCCAAATACTTTACAACGGCTGCATCTCGTCGGAGGAGATGATGCCGAGCCATGTATGTGGGGTTCGTGGTTAATTTAGAACCTCTGGACTATGTGCCCGTACGCCGCATCATTCACAGTGGGTTACATTGTACCAACAGACCTCCAAAACGAAGACATGTGTTGCCGAATGCAGGCACAACATGTCATGTGCCATTTATGAATGTTTCGCGCATATTTATTTGTGTGACATTGGGGAAACAGGCCCTTCTGACAGGTGACTATTAGGCAGTAGTCCATTCCCTGATGAACATAGAACTGTCAAGGAGCCGTTGCATAAGTCCTCATCGGTACAGAACAGCCTTCCCTGGTTCTGATAATCGAGGTACAGATAGCCAAAGAGTGGTCACTTTACTAAGCTTCTTGACGGTCGGACCAAGATGGATCTTCTGTCTTGGGATGGTCGAGCGGATACTAACACCCGGCTAAGAAAAACTCGTTAGAAACTGTTAGAGGTCTATTGTGGTGACTCATGCTGAGGTTGACGTTGCATTCATGATGCTTCTTCACCGCAGTTGGTCTAAACCAACTTACAATTAATCTAGGTCTTTTTAATCTGGATGAAAGTCATTCCACTTTATTTGGTTTGTTCAATTCTGTTACCCTGTTGCATATTCCGTGTCAATTTTGCGTGTTTAGTTTCCATTAAATTCTATGTTGATTCTTTGCTATCCCCAGTGTGGCTGCGCTTGATGTGAATGTTGACAGGGTGCCTACCTGCCTAACACCCTCCACCTCGATAGCTGCCTCCAGGAGACTGTGAATCGTTGCTGGGGGATATGGGGTGTGTGGATGGAGCTGTGGGTGGTGCAGCGCAAGCCACTCATGGTCCCTCTGTAGGCGCAGGCGTCGTGTCGCTGTCCTACGGAGGCCACAGTGACAGGCAAATCCGGAACCGGATGCTACCAACCAATTTTTATGGACAAGCACAAGGTTGGCCTCATGAACCCCAGCCCTGAAGGTGACTGGGGGCAACACCAACAACGCTTGTGGCTTGTGACTTCATTTCCAAGTGCCAGATCAGTTATGACCGGCTTTCAGTTTAGCATCATCATAACCAATGTAAACAAGACAAAGAGACACCCAAATCAATGCAACTCATTCCAACATCACTTACTGATTGATGAGCTAGACTGGCTATCGACGTATGCTACTTCCCTGCGTATTTCACCATTGCGGATACTATGGCGCCATTCTACATCGGCATTGTTTTGTATGCCATGATAGTAAAAGGTACGAAGGTATCGGCGCTGCTCACGCTGAATGGTTCAGGCCTAATTACTGCAACGAAGCACGGCCCCACAACATACGTGAACTTTAACAATAAGGGAGCAGAATATATGACAGATGTGTAAAGGCAATTTCAACGTTCACAACACGAAAGCCAAGTTCAGCATTCTTATCTTTATCACTGTTGGTTTAAACGGCAGAGAAATTGAGCTGATCGATAGCTGCGGTTCCTCGTCGCAGTGGGTCGAGTGGCTATGGAGTGGATGGTGTCTGCAACAATCTCACATACTTTGAATGTGGTTGAGAAATGAAATAAATGTGTTCGCTAGAGGTCCGCTATGTCATGTGGCGGTTGTCGAACACAAGAACCTGGCTGAGTTTTACCTTGGCACTCCACACGAGGACACTCCAATGTAAACCCGAAGGAATAGGACCTGGAGGTATGTGCGTGGGAGCCACGTTTCATCAATAGAGCCGGCCCACACTCCTTCAACTTGCACAGCAGCAGCGTTGCGGTCGATCTATGTGGGGAATCACGCGTACCAGACTAACACAAATCAGTGGCTGGAACGTAGTCTGTTCAATACTACACGGAACCACACTTTCGGCGTACCACCACCATGAGGACCGTGCAATCTGTCCAACCCAACGACGAGTAACAGTTGCCTGGAACCAGTAATCTAAGTGGAGGGTGTTAGACATCAAGCGCAGCCAAACTACGGATGTCGAAGCAAAAACAGAATCTGAAGGAAAATAAACACGCAAATGGACATTGAATATGCAGCAGAAGAACCGAACTGAGTAAATCAAATGAAATGGAGTACTTTTTATCGAGATTTAGAAGATGTTGCTTAAGTGTAAGTCGGTGTAGCTCAACTGCGGTGAAGTAGCATGACGTATGCGACATTGATCTCAGCATGAGGAATAAGAAAGAATATGAAAAAATGGAGCGTTTCGGAGCTGCTCTCTCCCAGCACTGTACTCTACGACCGATCGGTTTCATCCTGATTTGGATTCGTCAGTTAAAATAGACAGTTTGAGGTGAGAGGGGAGCTCGACATAGTTGTTGGCGGCTTTCGTCCTGGTCACTAGGCCAGAGCTCCACAGCAACGCTTGATGCGACGGTTAGAAGTGCATTATTGGCTCTTGGAGTACCTGCCGTGTGTCTGGATTGCGACACGCAATCACCATTGAGGCTACAGTTTGCTTTGAAGCAAACCTATGCCATTTTGATCACTGGGACCGTATCCTAACACTGCACTCCACGACCGACCGAGAGAAAGCAGATCGGAAACTCTCCACTTCGGCTACGGTCCCAGTGATCGAAATGGCATGGGTTTGCTTCAAAGCAAACTGTAGCCTCAGTCGAGATTGCGTGTCGCAATCCACACACACGGCGGGTACTCCAAGAACCAATAATAATATGAAAGCAAATAAACACGCAGACTGGACAGTAAATATGCGGCAGAATGACAGAACTGAGCAAATCAAAACAGGCTGTGCATTCTGGTCCATTGTTAGGGTGATCTTTGGCGAAGTTAAGTGTGAATCACAGGATATCAACCGACTACCATTGAAACTGAATGAGAAAGAAAACACGCGAAAGAAACTGATAATATGCGGTGGATAACAAGTACTGCACAAAGCAACTAAAATGGTTTAGGTCAGGCCTATGGTAATGCAGAAACAGCTAAGCGTAAATCATTCTAATGTTCAAATTCATAACACAACCTGCAACACACACCTTGCCATGCGTTCAATACTTTCGCCAACCTAACCACTGGCATGAAAAGCGTTTCGGCAATAAGTTGGCAACTGATCACCTACAAGTATCCAAGGAAATCAGTCTGGCGGCCATCACCGGGTGAACGATGGATACGGTTTACTCAAATACCCGCTGACTTTAACAAAAGTCTAGCTGCTTCACTTGGCTGCCCATTGTAGAAGACTCTACGTATCACATGAGGATACGACTACGGTTGTAATCTTTTATCCTCACCGTTGGGTTGATTGGACCGCTTGTTGCTACGCATGCTCCGGTGTATCAAATAGCATTCCAATAACCACATGAGACTATTGGAAGTTTAGTGAGCGACAGTATGCTTCCGGAAAGGTAAACACTGTCCACTACACAACAGCAGTAGCAGCAGCAGCGTGAAATGCAATGGAAGATGAGGTGGGGAATACCATCGCTATTAAATTAATGACATGGACTCCACCCGTCAGGTCCTGAGTTCGATCCGTGAAATGTTCGGGGGAAAGTTCACTGTTATCGAACACACCCTGCCGTGGCCACGACCACTTCCTTAACTAGTTCTGCTAGTCATGATACTGCAAACAGTATGATACGAGCTCCAGTAAGAAAAAAGCGGTCTACTTCTCTTCTACCATACGATCAAAGTTATCCAACAAAATCTTAGAAACAAAACGCTGGCAACCATAAGCGTACAACTCACACATGGCGCAGACGGAGATGTCGGGTCTATGGATAAAGTACTGGAGGAAGAGACAGATTCTTTTTCTCTCTTGGAGCAGATTGAGCCGGTTGTGCGACACTTTTCCGCCTCAGTCAATTCTGGCGCTTTGTAGGAGAGTCTATCTCGATGATAAGATGTCTTGTCTGCTAATGACAAGGAGCTCGCGTACTCCATGGGATCTACCTTGTCTGTTGAACAAGAGCCGTAGGTGCTACTCATATGTGGGGCTGAGCCGTTCAGCAAGGCGGAATAGGTAGTGACTCCTGTAGAGTTGGCTACGCAGTCCCCGATATCGCTGAAGACGGTTGGGGTACATGGTCGGACAGGCATGGGGCTGGAGGCTGACCCAGTGGACGCCGCCGATTCGCGATCATCACAAACGAGGTCAAGGGGCATTTTTCCTTTTAAACAGGCGATGTATCGTGCACAAAAGCTGTCACAGAGCTCGTGTACCTGCGAACAGAAAGAAACCATTGGGATGATAAACAGTGGCAATGAAAGCTACCTGCAAAGTTTCTGCAAAAGGAACTCAAAAACAGCGTCATCATGTTGGCCAACTGTAAAGTGGCGTTTGTAGGGTTGAGGAAGCGATTGAACGAGATTTAGACGGAGAGTGAAACGACTATGCGAGTTGATGACAACCTACTCAAGGTGCCGCTTAATATCCTACTGAGCGATCTCCCGTAGGTTCGTCTAGGAAGCCGGAATGCTTACGCGAGGCGAAGCACCGTGTGTTGCGACCTGTGTTTTTTAATGGGCGTCGCAGTATTGCAACTGGTCGGTCGAAATGCTCTCCCTTTCATGGGCATCATCTACTAAATGCCCCAATTCAACTAAAAGAGCTCGATATTGCCAGCTTGGTGCTGGCTGCTGGAAAAACGGAGGATAGATGGGTACGGATGCAACAGCTGAGGCCTGACAGGTTCTGTTTAGAAGTATGGTTAGTAGGACGGGCTTTGCACGGCTAGCACAATGGGAGAAACCAACTGCGGGTTAATTCATTTTAACCTGGTGTTGCGACGAAGCTTCAGAATGGACCGACGGACATGGAATTTGTTCTTGAGGATTCGGTTGCCTAGTATGGGGCCAGTCCATAGACTACACTATTGTTTGCTACGCAATCCTAAAGTATCCAGTTTAAGCTGGTGTAGAAGATTGATCAGGATCCTAATACGCTTATTGCCTTTCTCTGGGGATTGCGAATTCCAACAGGGTTATGATTCTACCACGACCAAGGTGATTGTAGGGTGAGAACTCACCTAAGTGTTGAGTAACTGCAAGGGGACGGAAAAGTCGAATCCCCCAAAATCATTCTTAAGATAGTAAGCTGGTGTCTAACTTGGCCCGGCGTCTATTCGGCTTGTCAAGAAAAGGCGGGATCTGCCTGTACGGTCACTAATGGTTTGCGTTCATACGATGCGCCTCCGCATTCAGTATGTTTAATCGCTGTGACGGCGTATGCTCAACACTGCGTGTGGGCCTATTCTGTTAGAGCATATCCTGAACTACCTACTCTGATACCCTGTTATTGTTGTTGCGTGATCACCCGCTTTCTTGATAGCTCTCTACCTGCTGATATCATCATTGAAAAGTACAGCATTTGGGGCGAACGCTGTCACGAGATCAGACTCTGTCCACCATGATCTGACCAAGTGTTCCCAAGTCGGATACTATATCGCGTCTTCTCATTACGTGGGTTTCAAGACTGATGCAAATTCACGGTACAACAGTATGACTCTTTTTGACTTATCACGGTCCGGTCCAAATGAGAAAACTGATCCACATAAAGGATACTGACTGTGGATCAATCCTAGTTAACTACGCCTCAACGATGCCTTACAATTAAGGTGAACGATGTTCATCGCAGCGCAAGCTCAGACACATGAAGACCACTGTCATCAACACTGTCTCACTGGCTTTATCGTTCACGTCCGTTCAAACAAGTGACGAGGTGTTGATTTGGCTGCAGCTGGGGTAACAACTGAGCATTCTTATTCTCCACTTACAGCGGTTACCAGGTTACCGGGTCTTGACAGAGGTAGTTTGCGCTGCATCAGCTGTTGTTTCCCTCGCATCCATTTGCAAAATATCCCACTCGCCATCCCCACCCAACTCCTTCTAACGACCATCAGATTGCGCTGGTGAGGTAAGGTGTTCGAACGCACAGGAGAGGTGAGTGCGTACGTGCGCTTACAAACGCACACATACACCTACCAGTGCCAGGGGGTCGGTTCGGAAAATGCGGGGAATCGAACTGACTGTGTTGGCGATGGAAACATCTCGCACGCCAGAAGTTCATTTATTCACCGATGCTCGCGTGCGCTAGTCTGCGTGCACTCGGTTACCACAACTGTGACCTCGCCACCTACGTGGCTCAGATTCGTCGGGCGAATACCTGTCAACCTGTCAAGTCAGTCCATAACACGGGCATTTGATATTGCAGCGGATGGGTTGGTGGGTGAGCGGGAAGCGGGAGTATCTTGCACTGAACCAGCTGACGCCACACACTCACCCACACACCAAGTGGCTTTGTCATTGTCACCCGGAGCAGTCAGCGGCGCAAGCGGTACGAACTGCATGATGGAATCCGACCCATCATCGGACGCAAGACCGGGTGGTTGTGGTCCCAATGAACAGCGAAGCTATCTCGGGGCTGAACGAAATGAAACGAAACGGAAACGTCAGCTGCGCATTCCGAAATGCGACAACCTCCGCGGGAGGGAACAGCCACGTATTTGTGTTTTGTGTTGGATGGAAAGTGCATTTTTGAGTAGCGGGTCGGGGGGCGTGTCACTTTTGTCGTGCAGTCTTGCCTGAGGAAAACCAAAAGCTAACACAATCAGTGGAGTGTTGGAAAAGTCACAGTTGTGAATTGGCAACGTGTCACAACGCTAGACGGCATCCGAGTAACACTATCACTTCAGGAATCGAAACAGGCTGGTACGGTTGACCGGTGGGATCCTATTTTGTATACAGCCCCTAATCTACGGGTCTTTTGACTAGACCGATTCCAGTGAATCGGTATCACTGCTCCACTGGTTAACTTGGTAGCTGCGGCTATCCTTGATATAACAGTACATGGCGTACTTATGGGATCGGTTGCTGTGTCAATACATGATGGGCGGTCTCACCATACTTACGCGAGGTGGCTACACATAAAAGGACGTCCGTCCAGTGTGAGGCGCAACAAGTCTGTGTAACGGGTTTTGCCTCCTCCTCTTTCTTGTAGGCGATGCCGCGTGAACGTACGTCTCAAATTTTCTGTTCATCATTGGTGGCTCACTGTAGGGAGACAGTAACGGGGTCAAGGACTGATTTACTAGCAGCACGCACCAATGTTATACGCGGCCAAAAGTATACTGTGGAGCATACGTGGTCAGCCGTCTTTCGCGCCTTCTCCGTGTGAGCTACTTTTGTACTGCTTTTCCCATGAAGGCAATCTCGATGGGCTAGAACAGAACAATTTTGTCTGTTCATGCCAGTCTGTTAACTATAGTCCTCGCAGTGATGTGTGACAAAACTTACTGTCTTGATAACAGTATCACTTCTTATGCAGCATGCTAAGATAAGAAATGAAATTAGGGAGCGCAACCGACTTCGTGCTGGTGCTATGTTTGACTTGGCTACTAAGTATTAATGAAAAGGTATCGGCAATACGCCGTACGCAGTACCGTAAGGCCTGCTGGTGGACTGTATAACACTGAGGTTGTAAATTTGAGCTTGCGTATGAGACCGTGTGACCCTCCCAGTATCCTCAGCCCACGCGTGACTGGTGGTGGTTGCGAGTCAGCGAAGGGTCGGTACTACTTACCAGTCTACTGCTGGTGTCTTTTAATGTACCCGAAACCCAGATCCCGATCCAGAGACAAGCTTGGAGTTAGTTCAGCCTCTCGATGAAAGTCTTCTGCATTGTTAGTCTTGGATGCTTGAGGTGGGCCAAAAAGTCACCACCAAAACCTTGGGTGCTGCCCGCCAAAAACCACTGCACACTAGCACTCGTTTCGACCTTATTAGATCTTGTCTGGTGTAGATAGCAGGCCTCGAATCAGGGGCCACTGGAATATAAGCCGAAACCTCGTGACCGAATTGACCAAAAATCACTTTGATGGGATCACTTCGATGCGGTTCACCTTGTGATAGCGCGTCGCAATCCATTCACACAACAAGGGTTTCAAAATGACCCCCATTCAACCAACACTTTGTTCTGCTGTTGCAGACTGTACTCGATTAGATCCTTCAGTCATCCGTCAAGTGTGTAACGTTCAGTTGAATACAACTGTATCATAGCAAGCTTGGTAGAATCACGATCTTTCAGCACTCGGCATTCAATAGAGGAAGTCAAGCAAGAACGCTTATGAGCCACCTCATCCACCAAAAATGCTTAGACTGAAGGGTCTCGGATCTCACGGCGGAATGTGTCGGCTTCTGTGGGTGACCTGGAAGCGGCACGATGTATCTGCAACATTCCCGACAACGAGTACCAACACTTCCGCCGAACAACCTCTCCGTAGTGCCAGCTTGGTAGTTCGGGCAAACCACGTACCAGCGAATGATTTGGCGGCAGTGTTACAGAACGTGGTGGGTTTCCGCGTGCTAATCGTTTTTCTAATGAGAACCCATAGATGTCTGTTTAACAAAACCGCTACTTGGCGGATATGACTCACCACTAAATAAACTAACTGCTCCTTGCCTGTTTACATGATCTCGACTATGTCGCGGACCTCAGTCACCCACCTTGAAGATTTCCCTTGTGCCTTTCTCACGCTCGTAATCCGACCGAACACTATTACAAATACAACAGCATATCTACAGACCCAAGTGTCCACCTTACTTCATACACGTATACCCTCATGGTTGGCGGCATCCAGTTCCAGATTAACTTGCCACTGTGGCCTGCATAGGAGAGTTACAAGACGTTTGCACCTACAGAGGGACCATGCATGACTTGCGCTGCACCACCCACAGCGCCATCCATACACACCACATCCAGTGTACACCTGAAGGCGTAAGACAGGGAAGAGTGTGGATAGAAGCCACCTTACATCAACATAGCCGGCCCATACTCATTCAACAGGCATAGCAGCAATGTTTCAGTCAGTCCAATTGGAGAATTATGCACACCAGACGTACACAAGATGGTTATTGGGCTATAGGCAGGTCTACACTGCATGCCTGGAACCACCCATTGCGACTAGCACCGTCACCAGGACCGTGCACCCCGTCCCTGGAGCTAGTATATAACGTTTTGGAGGGTACTAGACAAGTAGGCGTCTTGTCAACATTCACATCAAGTACCATTACACCGGGGATATCAAACGACAGCCAAGACATATAATGCAAGGAGCTGAACACGCAGGCACACGTACAGACCAAATGCAACGATAACGTACCACACGTAGCACATCAACCGCTTTATTGGCCTGGGCAAGTAAATTGAATAGGAAGCAATGCACTTACCAAGCGTTGTGCTGAGGATAACTACATATTTATCTTACTCGTCTTTTAGATTTTTGACCAATATAGCGACGCTTGTGACTTACTAAGCCAGTGTTGCTCAGGCACTCGTAATCGCATATGCTATAGCACAATGCGTACGACGTCGATGGGTTATCGACCAGCGGGGCCTGTTTCTTTGTCAAGCGGCATTTCTTTTCCGCATGCAGATCCACGAATAAGCCATTGCATATCTGTTGGAGATCCAACTTTCGACACTGGACTACACGCCGTGCGTGATCAAGGGGTCAGCCCCGGGAACCACTACGTTCAGGGTCCCACTCCTAGCTCCGGCTATCGTTACTGATGATGACGGTCGTCCAGTGTAGTATTGGAAGACATTAACTCTGAATTTCTCCAATTCGAATGCGACATTATTGATCAGTCATAAAGATTATGTTCAGACTAGACTCAGACTCCATGTAAAGGTTTCCGCTGCTGTGGGGGGCCAGTGACATTGAGTTCCGTCAATTCAGGCGAGGAACGAACACTTCAACATTCCATCTGGCTCCTGGGTACCTAGAACCCGCAGTGCGTGATGAAACCACTGGAGTACAGGGGACGGTAACGACCGGCGTGACTGTCATAATGCCAAAAGTTACTTAGCACCTTAGGTTTGGTAAGTCCGTCGCCTGGTGTGGGGCTGCCCTGTCCTGTGCACGGTGGTAAGGTGCAAATCAATGAATAATAGGCGGTGCGATATCACATCTAATAAATTGTCCACGACGGTCGTGACCGTACCCCGCAGCTCAGTGAGATTAACCACAGCAGCGGGTACCAGCCCCAGAGGAGGCAGATAGAATGTGCCCTGCTGACGATTCCCGAAAACATAAATGGTTGCACGACGCTTTCCGGGGCGTGTGATGGCTGTTTGACGGAGTCCATATGCGACGAATTTCTACTTATACAGTTCTGAAGCTGTTATTGAAACGTGTCCACCTTAACAGCTTAAGAAATAGGAGGCAAAACAAATAGAACAAGGGATACAATGTCTTTTTACACTCAAGTATGCGTATTTGTCGGGTTTTCTCTCCCTAGCCTTTCGTTTGATGGTGTTTTGCAGCTTTGCTCAGGTGGTAAAGCAACTACTCACGGTGAGTCCTTTCGTCCGCTGTCCTTACATGACACTGGATCTTGGTCAGTTAAAGGCATTCTCTTCATGACCTGGTCATGCTAACTAAAGTCTACGGTTCAGCTTGAAAGTGCTTAACCGGTCTAAGAAACGAACTTTCATTGTGAGATCAGCTGTATAGCACGGACGCGTCCGCTTAATTTTGAACGCCCTAGTTCGTTGCTTCGTGTCGTCTCGCGCGGCAATAAACAGTACACTTACACCTAGTAGTCATTTTCTACTTGAAACACTAACTAGTTTTGTTGTAGATGATCTATAGGGTGTATAGGGGGACTCTGGGTTAGGCTATAGTAGAAGTCTCACCACGACGATGTAATAGTTTATCTGAGCGAGGTCTTACCAAAGTTCTTGTAATATCAGCTGCTTCGTTAACTCATAACCAGGTGGAATGAATGGTCCACTAACACGAAGTGTTAACCTGCTGGAATGCCACAGTGGCACTTTGAACTTTTGAAGGTCGAACCAGGAACTGCCTAAGCTACCCGTTACCAGCAGCGATGATCCTTGATGGACTGTGCTTGCCATGCTTCTTGAAGCTCCTGTTGCAACAACACAACAGTGTCTATCACCATCAAGGGAGAAGCATGACAGCCCGTGGTTTTGTAGCATTTTAACTATGGGGGATTTAGGTTAGCGATTGCCTGCTAAACATACCCCAGCGCTTGAAAATTGGAGGTGGGGTATTAAAAGTGAGTTACACGCTTGATTTCAATTTGGGTGCATCACTGATAATTGGTTGCCCTGACGTGTCACTGATAGGCCACCGCGGCCTTCCCTGCGTTGTAGCCCACAAGTCACCGGTTCGAGACTGTGTGGGTCCTGGCGACCACGCAATACCATTGGTCCCATGCACGAATGGTATTGGCCGCGTGACAATTAAGAGTTAGTACAACATGTCGGTGCGTTGTCGACGTTTTAATTTCTTCTTGGGGACTTAAAGACGCGACTCCGGATTGAGTGTCCCGAAGTGGAAGCTCTTTATCCTGCAGCTACCACCCTACAATACGTTTCTGGTGATGGTGAACACAGTAGTAGTTTCAACTCAACCCTAGAATTTACTCTATTTTTGCGGATTAATGCAGTCGAGTTCCATTGAGCATGTTCATGTAGGTACCAAGATGGAGTCGGGTTCCCGCTGCTTTCACGGTTTGTCACCGCTAGGTAAGTTGAAATTCAATTACGGTTGCTTCGAACATCCTACGATTAATTGCATCAAGAATATCCTATGCATCAGAGTAGCAAAAATTTCATCCCAACAGCTTCCAAATACTATGTCGAAAAAAGTCGCTGTCCTCGGAAGCCGTGACTCTCGGGGTCAGCTCTGTACTGTGCAACGTTCCTAACTTGCATGGCCCTATCATAGTTAGCTTATAAATCATGACAGTCCGTCAGCACCCCTCATGATTTAGTGTGACATTCTGCTGTTTATTTACACAAGCCGCTAGTATTCATGTGTTCGGATTCTGATGGCACTGAGAGATGCTCAGTGCTGACCAGTCCGGATAGGACGAAATGACTGTCTAATCATTTTCTTGATGTGTGGAGGCCTAAGTGGTTTTGAAGCCGCTGCGAAGCAACCACAAATAATTACAACCCATACCCCTTGGTTTGCAACTTCAGTTGAGTCGATACTATGATGAAAATTTCGCGCCACATTATCACAACAGCACCCTTCAAAGAAGTGAACGGCGCTGTGGCCACATCGAGCAACCCCATAACATCAATAACTCCTTCAATGTACGTCGGTAAAGTAAGAATTACTGGGTACGTAATAAGTACTAAAACCATAAAACTGACCTTTTCAATTTCCATCAAATGGAACCGTAGCACGTGTATCGCTTGGACGATCTGAAAAATGGAGTGGACGTTTGAAACGTAATGAGGAGCATACGGTACAGGTGATATTTTTGCAGTGTGGGTTGCGCGGACAATTGTCAAGTCGTGGTTTTTTCCCGGAGAAACTGTGTGTAGGCAACGATAATATATGACCACCAGTCACCCACGCACCGGTTAATTTGGGAATGTTTGTTGAAGTGATGCTAATTATAAGGCGTTAGACAAAAAGTGCTGGTATTGCAGTGGTTGTGTTGCTGCGCTCTACTAGGCTGCTGCCGTTGCCGACGCCGCCGTTGTTGCCAAACTCGGTACTGATGCGAATAAGGGTGGGGATGAAGATGTTATTCAGAATGCTCAATAAGATAATGATGACGACGACGAGGAGAATGCTTCTGGCCATTTCGAAGGAAGACAATTATAGTTTATCTGATTCTTCCCTCAGCGCTGTGGGCTAAAGCTTCCGTCACACAGTTGGACAATATGAGATTTGCCATTACAAATGTCTGATTAGTTATGAACCCCTGATTCCACAAAATCTACAATTAAACTGCCGGTGAGATACTTGAAATCTGTCGTTACAGTGCCACATGGCGCGAGTTCGATCATGGAGCACTTTAAACGAGTGCTTCGAGTGTTATTCGTCTTGACTTCATAGTGTACCAACCATAACGGTTGTTTGTACCAGCAGTGGCTGTGGCGTTTTGTACGTAACACTAGGAAAGTGCTTGCTGGGAGGAAAGTCAAGCATTCCGTCCACGCTCCGCCTAACAGGTAGCCTTTAAAAGAAATGGGAACGTGTGAGAGCTTATCGAGGCACTGGTTGTGTGATTGGATTGCGAAGCGCAATCTCTATGTGGGTCGTGATTCACAGTGAGTTGAATTTTGGTGAATTCGGTCGCCGGGACCGTAACACATGAAGCAGGTGAATGCTAGGTGTTACACACCCCCAACGATGCACTCCATGACCGAGTTCGAACTTATTTGATCTCAACAGATAGAGATAGCAACCCTGGGACTCGAACCCGGAGCCTTCAGAATAGAGACTTCAAAGTTTTAAGCAAACTCGTCCATAGCTCAAAGTTGCTGTACTTACTGTATGTCTCCTTCTCCAGCTTTCCTCTTGTTCTGGGCCAACTAAACCATAACATTGGTCATGCAGTGTGATTAACAGTTTGCTAGTGAAATTCTATTTTGTAGTTTCCATTCGTTCAGTCGGTTACATGTCACAGATACAGAAAGCGGTCTGTGGTACCTAGTTGTGATTTGCTTCTCAACCACACGTTTCTTCAGCAAGTTCTATTAAACATAGACACTTTTCCACAGTCGCTAAAAGGCTATTTCACTAAAAACAGATGCTGAACTCAAAAAAAACTAATTACGGTATGCCGCAAAACAAATAATCTCACATTAATGATGCAACACCGTAATTTGGCCACATCGCGGAAGCTGGCTCATCACACGAAACAGAGCGCTGATGAAAAACGGGCTCTCATCAGTCAACTCAAATACCGGGAACTGATCAAACTGCTAAAGTGCAGAATTACCAAGCGTATCCAAGGCACAATCGCACTCGTAGCACCAGATGGCTGAAACATAACAGACCCTGCTCAAACTAGCGTAAGGTTTAACCAATATTTCGGCGCCTCCTTCAACATAGATACCGAACCCCTATGCAAGGTCTTGCCACTCGGCACGGTCGAGCAGCTCAACTGTATCCAATTTGAGCTCCACGATTTACACAAACTTATCGGGTACACAAAGTTAGCCTATTCCGGGGGTCCAGATAATATTCTCCCGTAGTTGCACAATTGGGCGGGCATGACATCCCCCTGCTATTTGTCAGTATTTCCAGTCTATCCATGAACACCGACCCCGTTTCAGCTTACTGGAAAGAAGCTATATTAGTGCTGTGACATAAATCAGGCTCACTTTCCGAGCTCAAAAATTATCGCCCTCCATCTTAGCAAGAATTATGGAGTGAAGTATCAAAGCTAAAATTTCGAATTCATACTGCCAAGAAAGCTAATAAATAACTCGCGACATGGCTTCTTGAATAATCGATCTTGCACTAGGTGCCATCTGGAATTTATAACCACTATAACCGCTTCGGATGATCTTGGTATGTGGGTTACTATAATTTACTTCGACATGCACAAGGCCTTTGATCGGATGCCTCAAGAAAATCTGATATGTAAACTGATCGGTGAACGCTGATTTCTTGCTTAAGGTCACACTTTACAAATGGAACACAGATAGTACAAATTCGAGAATACATGTCTGAGCCTACACCTGTCACCAGTGGTGTGATACAAGGAAATGTCTTTAGGCCGCTACTGTGCTTACTATATCGTGACGATAATTGCGACATAGTAAAAATCGGTACAACCTACTTGTTTACCGATGAAATAAAAATAGTAAACACTTTTCACCCGGAAACCTTCAATGATGCTGTCAGCATGATCCAACGCGAACCGCATGTGCTTGAAACCTGGTGCTCAAAGTAGAAAATGTCCTACTCTAGTGACAAATATTGTGAAACGTCCCATAAGTACGATGTGATCCATGGTGGCCTGATTCTTGGTGACAAACCAGTTAATCTATACCCTACGATTAGAGACCTGGGATTGCGGTATTCATGCTCACTTAACTCCCGTGAGCAGGTCGGATGTGCCACTGCGAGAGCAAGACAGAAAATTGGATTGGTACTCAGGACCTTTTCATTACATGAATCAATACTTTATTCTTCCAAACCAGTTATTCGACCCAAATTGGATTATTGTTCAACGGTTTATAGCAGCTCAAAAATGCGCGACCGCACTGCACTGGAACAAATACAGAGGGCATTCACTAGATGGCTCTTAGGTGCTTATTCAAAGCTGGAATATTCTGAACAATGTGATAAGCTTAAGCTTCATCCGTTCTGGCTACGGCACATGAAGGATAAGCTAGTTATATTCTTTGATATATTGCACAGAAATATACATGTTTCCAAATTCAAATGACATTAATCCAATCAGCAGTCAACAGCACACGACACAAGCAGAACTCAGTGGTGGAATGCAAGTCCAGGATCAGCATGTCTGGCAACTTTCTCCTCAAGTGATACGTCAGAGTCTGGAACAAGCTACCACCCAAAATACGATCTTGCACTCTTAAACGGCAATTTCGAAAAAGCATCAGCAAGTTCTTGTCTGTACAGAACGTGATCGAACTGTACGAGTAGGGTCTATGTCTCGTATGACCTAGTGCATCTTTCACCACCATACTATCTCCCGTGGTTTAGTTGCTTTATGTGGGACAGAACGGTGAAAAGCCGGCCAACCTCAATGCAATTCAGTCGACCACATAGCATGTGGTCGCAGAGGCAAAATATAAAGAGCGGAACGATAATTAATACGTTAATGTCCAAGAGCGACGATTGATGTAGCTACACAGAGTATGCTCTACTCGCTGCTTCCAATCAGTATCAGTATCAGTATCAACTTGTGATCAACGTTTTATAAAGTATACACTTACCAGATCATACCTATATAGACATGCCTCGCATCGCTGAGAATAAAAGTCCATTTATTTACTAAACCCTAGTGAAGGAGCAGCCAATATCTTGTTTATTGGACCCATGCAACTTCATTCTTGGTCTCCTTTCGAACTGGCTCAGCGTCTTTGGAGGAGAGCTGGTACAGTAACCAATTTGTACAATCATTTGTGTAGCACGCGTCTAGCGTATAACATCACTTTAGTGTCGTCGGATGATACGGTAAAATATAAAAGGAGATTCATTATCTTACATTTCCACATTCCGCGTATTTGATGCCACGGAGTTTCATTCGCAACTATATATACATCGCAACTGCGTGGTATCCAATAGTACTCATTGTATCTGAAGGGTGCGCAACACCTGGCGGCACCCGGATTCCTGCATCTCCTATCGCTATGCTTGCGAACATCCAGGAGGCACTTGGGTTCACAGAGGATGACTTACGCTTCGTCAAACACAGTTTTTCTCCTACCTCTGATCTTCCGTGTAAAAGTGCACAGGAAAGACTGACTACTGAATGTTGAGTTTGAACAACCAGTAGTTGTTGTGTTGAAATCTCATTGGGCACTCAGACGGAACAAGGTCATGGATTGTAATCCAGTTTCGTTATATTTCAGGTGGGATGTGATGTCCTGGCGGATGAGAGCCACGATTAATTTGGAGTCCGCCCACTGCCATTTTTTACCCACTGGGAACACTGTGTAGCATTCTTGCACAGAGCGGTAACCAGACTGTTGCCAATCAAAAGATCTAACCACTCTTTAGGCCTGATACTGTCTCTAACATCATGCATCCCGTCTCTAACTTGCCACTATGAATCTCGTAGTCAGGGCTCAAGAAGGTGGTCTCTGACGAGTAGGTGTCCTGTTATCACTCGCTTCTAGCGCAACCAGACGAACCATACCGATCGGGGATATGAGAGTCAGATGTCTAACACACACTGGTTATACGATCATAGCCTAACTGAACCGACGAGACATAGCACATACGCGTGTGCGAGAGCGGCATATTTAACCAGCATAAGGTTAAATCCCCTGCGTTGTCGCCCATCTGTAAGGTCTGTGAGGAAAGCCGGTGGGAAAAGTGAACTTAGCGGAAAGTTGTCGATATACCTTACTGGAAGATTACGACAAACGAATGCATATGCGACTCGAAAACAACGCAAGCTACCAAAGGAATTAGAATTTTGTGGAGCCAAATTATGATGATGAAGCAAGGCATTTGCGATCTCAACATTAGAGCCAAACGGATGGACAGCAGACCTGGCAACTTACCAGCAAATTCATTTCCTGATCCGCTGTGAACATGGGGCGATTTGAGGCGCCCATCTACTTGTCCCAACGATGCGCGTTTCCCAATGATCGCCAGACACCATCGAGGAACATAGTAAAGAAGGCGGCGAATCAGTCACCGCGACGCCAGAGTTGAGAGAAAGAGGAAAACATAAAGTTTATTAGAAAAAATTTACTTCACTCGCCCACCCGATCTCATGCTCGAAAACAACCACGTTGTGGGGAAATTGACAGATTACAATGACAACAAGTAAACGAAAATGTTGCAGGGTTTCGTGCGACCAATTTGGCTCAGCTTCCGCACACACACACACACACACACACACACCCACACACCCACACACACACACACACATGCTTTGCCGGCCTACTTCGGTTACGCATGAACGCAGCCACTGTCCTTTTTGGGACGACCCACGAATGCCAGGGACGTTTTAAACGAGAGATAAGACTTGTCCGCTCTCTGGTATTCTGCCGTGCTAGTTTAGGACACAGTGGTACGCACGCACGCACGTACGCACCACACACAACACAACTTGAGGATGTAAAAGGAATTACGAGGAACAACGAACCTGGCGGTATTTTCGCTCTTGCGTTCCGAGGCGTAAGTTAACAATTTCTGTCCACCTGCGGCAATTAGGAACCTCGAATGATGGATGAGATGCTGCACTCTACAGATGCGTGGCTCCGACAAAACGGTTTCGCTGAGCACATATTTTATGCAGGGTTTGTTTTGAACAATTGGGATTTTAAACTACAATCTGCGTTGCAGCATTACATCCTGTGCTCGGTCACTAAGGCAGTACCTCAAAATGGAACGCACTGCTGCTGTTCGTGTGAACCCATGGTTGGTACTTTTCTCTTTTGACATTTGCAGATAGAAAGTGCAGAGATGCGATTGGACCCGGCAACCTCTAGGCAATGGAAGTAACACCGTGGTGGCTGCAGGAGACGAAGTTGACCATGCAAGAGGTTAGCAATTCCACTAACTAGTGAAAACATGCCTAAAGTTCCATTGCTGAAGAAATCCATTGTAAAGCGTACTGTCAGGAGGGTGGTTCCCAAAGCTAGGATGTGCTCTTTCCTCCGGTTATGCGCGACAAACCGGAGTTTCGATCATCCACAGGATTTGCCACTTAGGCTGAAACCAACGTGTCTGCCTTGGTGACAGACACCCAGTGACGATTTGGTATCACAATGCTTTACATATTTTTAAATGCACCTGACCCGGTTAACCCTATAAAAAGTTAGCTTACGTTTTCATATACCGCGGGTGACTGCACCTCACAGGGGAGAGAGTTGGTCGACCAAACTATCGTATGAGAAAATCGTTCACGACGAAAGCCGCCATATGACCATTAACGGACAATGTGATTATCATAGTTGACCCTTTTCACCCTGAAACATAGGCACTGTTTGGATGTGTTGTTCTTACATCGTACCAAAGTGACACAACTCCAGTGGAATGTAACTCACTGGGTGGTATCTATAAGGATTTAAGGGGTTTAAAAGAAAGTGCTCTGTTTATTATTTTAGCTACACGTACATTGGCCGCGGTACATATGACTGCATTGTTGAAGAACTTGGGTTCAAACAGCTGCTCAGTCTTAAGGCAACTGGGGGAACATTCGTGGTGTATCAGGTGCGTCACTGCAGCAGTTGACCTCTACTCGTACCAATCAGAGAGTGTAGTTTTATGCTCAATGTTCGCTATCACCTGATAGGCCAATTCTGAGTGAGCTCCATGCTGGGAATAACAAGGTACGTTCTCGTTCAAAGCTGACACTAGGTTCGTGTCTCCATGTGCATATCAACTGATCCAGGAGGATAGGGGGATACGCAATCTTGGTGACTACAGCGGAGCAGAACAATGAACAATAAATTTACACGGTCTAAGAAGCGTTGCTTTGCATGTTCCGTTGTATAGTTTGGTGGGGGTATCGAAATACTACTACTGCTATTACCACTGCCACTACCATTACTACTACGACTACTACTACTACTACAACTACCACTAATAATAATAATAGTAATAATAAAACAGTTAATAATCTAAGTATGAAAAGGAGGACTTATTGTTATGCTGTAGTCATGCCATCGGGATAGATTCACTGCACCCACAGTTAACAGCATATAAATCCAATGTACACTCCAGCAGTAATATGGAGACGTCGTGCTAGGTGACAAAGTATGAGTGGATGAGTGCGTCATCCAACCGCCTTTTAATTACTGTTAGTGTAGAGACGACCGATTCTGGGAGAGCGTTCCACGGGTGACGGACACGAATGGAAAAGAAATTTCTGCGGCACTCCAGACGGCTATACTGTTCTGTGAGTTTCAATGAGTGGCCCTTCAAGGTTGTATTGCTGCTGAGTTGTAGCAAAGGGAGGCACACATGATGTGCGTCTTGCAGAATCAAGTATGCCATAATCAGGTCGCCTAGAAATTTGCGATATCGTTCGCTGAATACCGCCAATCGTTTTAGACACTGCTCCTAGGAGAGATTGCGCATTCCAGTAACATAGTTAGATGCTCGACATTGGGTCTGCTCCAACGCATTAAGGTCGAGTTCCAGTCATGAGTGCCAGGCTTGAATTGTGTATTCAACATGGAGGCGAACATACGCACTGAGTATTTATCAAAAATATAGCGGTTTCTTTGTCCGAACGCCCGTTGCAACAGCCTGAGGTGTTGGTTTCCAGACATCGAGGCCTTTTCGGATTGAGCGGAGTAACCTGTCATTATGAACCGGCACACACAAATCACATTCGATAGTAGTTGATTGCAGTACATTCGTTCCGAGCCGGTATGAGTAGGTTCTCTGATGTCGGATGGAGAGTGCCTTGCATTAACCCACCATAAATGCAGTAAATTTTGGATTGACCATTGATACACCCGTATCTAGGTCATTATGAAGCAGATTCTGGTTGGCATTCACCTGTCTCCTGTGCCTAATTTTGATATCGTTGGTGAACATTAGGGAGTTTGATTCGATTGCATGAGCGAGGTCATTACCAGACACCAAAAACAATCGTGGACCTGGAACTGAGCCTTGCAGCACACCACACTTGACTTGTGTGGGGTATGTTAAAGAGCTCCGAACTCTGGTCACTACTCACCGCTGAATGAGAAAGTTGACAATCCAGCTTAGAAAAAGATCACCAATCCCTCAATACTGGAGCTTGGAAAGAAGTATCCGATGGTTTAGGCGATCGAATGCTTTCGAAAACTCCAGGTAGATTATATCAACTTCTTCTCCAGCGTCAGCTGACTCGGTTCAACTACAGCGTATCATTGGTACATTTGTTGTGCACGATCGCCGACGACGGAAGTCGTGGTGCTCGGACGTAGTGATGTCACAGTTGCTAAGACACCAGGGTATCGGCAACGATGGATTCCATGACCTTAGAGAGTACAGGGAGAAGAGATATTAGGCGGTAGTTGGAGGGCTCAGTTCTGTTTCCACCTTTGTGAATCAGAGTTATTATGCCATGCTTCCACGAAGCAGGAAGGTGGTTCTGGTCAAAGCAGCACTAGAAAAACTAAGCTAACTGTCCTACCAGTTGGCTTGCTGCTGCTCCCAGTGCCGCTAGACGAATGGTATAAACACCCGGGGAGCTGTGTTTGCGTAGACGACAACTTCTGTAAAACACCCTGCGCAGTAAGGGATGTGGGTTAATCCTGGCGGCTGGACGACAAAGGCTTCAAGATCGCTTGGTGGAAAGACCCTTTGAAACGTTGGGGCATAGTGCATGCGCAGCGTGTTTGCTGCTTCCATAGCTGTTCATGTTGGTCCATCGGCCGTGTCCTGATTGGAGGAAATCCTTGCCTCACCTTTCTTAGGCGATTGACATGTTTGTACAGTAGTTTCTGGTTAGCACTGAACGTTTATTTCCATGTTCTGCTGACTGGTGGCTTTGGCTTCTCTAAACATTTGGATGCAGTGATTACGTTGGGCTGCCTAGTTGTCACAAGTATCTGGCATCGGAGATTCTCTGTACACCCGCCAGGCTGCGCTGCGTACTGCCATCCGTTTTCGAGTTTTGCATCTAACGAAAGAAACTGATTTGCACATATTGCAAACTCATGCCTCGGAAGACTTTGTAATCAGCCGACTAAATTTGTTGACGAACTTAAGTCAGGCGGCTTACGGGGGGTACTTCAGCAAGGAAAAACCAGGTTGTGGCATTGATAAGCTGAGCTAATCGATGATAGCTTGTGATGATTCGCACAGCCTCATACTTCTCATTCCGATTTTCCGCATAGCAGACGAAGTTGAAACTAACGGCTGCATGATCACTGCGACCCAATGGGTAGTCTACATCCAACACATCAAACATAAACTCTTTATTGGTAAGCACAATATCCAACACAGATGGCCTGTTACCTGTTTTGAGCCGATTGGGCAAAGTGATGTAATTGTAAGGCGGAACAGTGGTTACGAACTCCTGCAGATCGGTTTTAATTTGTTCTCCAATCGTGGCAGGGGTTTATAAACAATGTAGGTTGAAATCACTCATGAAAAGGATGTGAGTGCGTCTTAAAGCAGCCGCAAGGTGTCAGTCCGTTTTGGGGTGTAGATTTAGGGGGCGGTACACCAAGGTAACCGGGCAAGTGTCTCTGTATTTTAACTACAGACGGCACCAAAGAGCATCAGGGAACAGCGAGTCTGATTGCTCCACGGCTTCGCACTGTAAGTCGCTTCGGTGATATAGAATTACGCTTCCTCCTTTTGTGTCTATCGTTCCGGATGAGCGACTTGCTCGGTGACGAAATGTTAGCGTGCAACCATGTCTCAATGATATCGATGATATCATATGACCCGGAAGTTTGACATCTTTCAGTTCGGCCAGTTGACTAAAAAGACCCCGAGCGTTCGTATATGAGCAGACTAGTTTCTCGGTCTCTAGGAACCCACAGGGGGACCCATGATGGTCCAAGTTACCGTTCGGTCACCGTCCTGTGCCCTTCTGAAACGTCTTTTCTTCCCATAATCAAACATTTGAATCGGGTATGCCAATGGATTGTCGGCCGGC